CAGTACATGAGTCCCTGCAAGCAGTGTCAGAACCACCATTTTACAACAGAATAGGACAAATCTAATTCCTCCTGTGCATGACAGCCTTCTACAGAGTGTGTATATTCTATCCATGAATCTTTTCTATTCCAGGATAAATATCTCCAATTCCTTCATCTACTTTTCATATCATAATTTCAAGTTTCCCCATCATTCTGCCTGCCGTGGACACATTGCCAAGGCTCCTACCTAAGGGGTCTTATGTTGGATTCTTTTGAGTTATATTCGAACATCTAGTTGGACAGCTTCTAGATATGTTGGTTGGATTTGGGGGCCGCACGGCAATATTGAAGTTGGAGAACTGTCCTTTCCCGTTTATCTTTGAGTGAGATACAGTACGCAGACTACACTCCAGGTTTCCTGGCTTCCAGTCCACATTTTGTGCTTTTCAGAACGTGATAACAAAATGATTTGTTATCATTTGGGAAGTCTCTGGTGACAAACCTGGTCTCTCAGGAATATTTTGAATAGTTTTTATAAACCTGTTTTCAAGATATAACACCTGAGCTTGAGGAGGACATGAAGTGGGAAAGGGGGTGCTGCTGAGAGGAAAGAAGAGAAGAAGGCAAACTTCTCACCCCCCACTAGACTTTCATGTCATATTCACCCTCTTTGACAAAAGAAATGCAGAGATTAGTTTTACTATTTTATTCTGCATTAGTTCAAATACCGCATTCTCCCTCCCGCCTCCTACATGGTAGATGATAGATTGACAGATAGATAAATGATACATTGACAGATGACATAGATGGCTACATAGATGATTAATAAATGATTAACAGATGGCTCATAGGTTGATAGGCATGTGTGTGTGTGTGTGTGTGTGTGTGTGTGTGAGAGAGAGAGAGAGAGAGAGAGAGAGAGAGAGATTTATCACTCTAGTTTAAATTATCTTACTCTTTTGCTCTTGTTTCATTTTGCAAAGGTTTCTTTGTTGCTCATGCAGGGCTCTTTACCATTTTCCCACTTCTTTATCTTGTCATTCACTTTCTCTTCCTCATAGACAGCTTAAAAATGTCCAGCATCTTTAAGGGGAGCAGGAACATACAGTGCAATGCAAAATATATTTTCTCAGGGGACAATAATAACTTGATGGGCCTCATTGTCGGGCAAAGTCAGAGAAGATGTGAGGCAATTTGGGTTCCAGCAAATATCAGTCTGTGGGTCCTTGCTGTTGTCTTAAAAATAGCTCCCACCTATCAGGACATATTTTAGAGCTAAGTTAAAAGCACATTTGCTTGTTCAGAGCATCTCTTATGGAGCTGAAAATGCTGAGGCTGTGGAAAGCAAAGTTGGGAGTGTTTATTGTAACATGCACTCACTCCAAATTTCCCTCGGGGAATGACTTAGCAGCAATTTAAGCCCAAATGTAGAGCAAATAGAAAAATGGGTGCTTTTTCTCACTCTTGCAGGACTTGTCCCTTACCAGCTCCTCGTGTGGATAACAAGCAAAAGAGGCGAATTAATAACTAAAATATACACTTTTATCTTCAGGGACTCTAAGAGACTTTCTTAATGTTAAAAAGTCAGCACATGTAAACCAGGTCTCTGTCTCTAAATTACTCTAGATTACTGTGTCTCTAAATTTAAGTACTTTTCATACCCAAGACTATTAACGTATAAGATGAGAAAAAGCAGTATCGTATATAAAAAAGCAATTTAGTCAAAAAGCTTGTTTGTCTGGAGTTTTAAGAAAAATACAAATCCTCCTACAGTTCTGATCTTTATATTAAAAACACATAAATTCTATTTATGTATCAAATGATAATAAATTGCAGCTTTGTTCTGAACTGCTACAAAAACAAGAAATAGGCCGAAGTGAAGGGAGTGACATAGATTTGGTGATACAGAGACAAACATGTAAGAATAGGTAAGGCAAATGAACAGAAAGAGCAAGAGAGAGGGACAGGCACACCTACAGCAAAGGTGAACTATTCTTCCTTTAACTCGTTCCCAAGGATGTCTGACTCAAAACTAAGTATGATCATGTTTACTTACGCAAGTTGAATAGCATAAGTTGCTATACAATTGTGTGAGGTCGTTTTTGATGCTGTTAATTCTGAAAGTTTTTTAATAAAATCAAACAGGTCAGATCCAAGGACACAGGCTCAGGATTGAGGTGATAATGGGATAGGTGGGTGAGTGTGATAGGATTGAGAAATAGTGAACTAGAGCCACAAATTGTTGTGGTAACTACAAAACTCAATGATATTTGCATGTTCTAAGCATTGCAATCTCTGCGTAGTTCATTCAAGCTTCACAAAAAGTCTATAGACCTGGCTTATTTTATTTAACATAATGACCTCCAGTTCCATTCATGAGTGACTATACTCAGCAATCATATTTTGATTATTTCAAAGTAACCCGAAGATATAACTTGACACCAACATATAGAAATGATAACTATTCATGGTGATGGATACCCCAAATACCTTGACTTGATCATCATACATTCTATGCATGTAACACTCACATGTGCCCCCATAAATATATAAAATATTATGTATCAATAAAAAAAAACTATAGGGAAGGCCTTTACATTACTTTGGTGAAGCAGTATGGCCTAGTGGCTATCAACGCAAGTTCTTGGTATACTCTGCCTATGCTCAAATCTAGACTGAACCACTTACCAGTTACCCAATTCTGGACACATTCTTTTTTCTTTACAGTATCTCTCTCTTTTTTTAAGTTCTGGGGTACATGTGCAGGATGTACAGGTTGTTACATAGGTAAACTTGTGCCATGGTGGCTTGCTGCACCAGTCAACCCATCACTTAAGTATTAAGCCCAGTATTCATTAGCTATTTTTCCTGATGCTCTCCCTTCCTCCAGTCCCCGACCTCCCACAGGCCCCAGTGTGTGTTGTTTCCTTTCCTGTGTCCTTAGGTTCTCATTGTTCAGCTCCCACTTCTGGGTGAGAACATGCAGTGTTTGGTTTTCTGTTCCCGCCTTAGTTTGCTAAGGATAATGCCTTCTAGCTCTGGACATATTCTTTTAACTTTCATAGGCATACTGGTTTCTTGTTGAGGATACAACGAATTACTACTAATGTAGAAACTGATATGCCAGTATGCTACTACAAATGTAGTATCTTTAAAAACTCCAATTGTATTATGTCACAGGCTGGTGATCCTAGGAAAGAATCTGTTTCCTTACCTTATCCAGCTTCTAGATGCCTCATACATTCCTTTGCTATGGCCCCTTGCTTCATCTTCACAATCAGCAATGTAGCCTCTCCTCTCCTCTCCTCTCTGACTTCTTGCCTCCCTCTTAAAACAACCTTATGATTATATCAGGTCCACCATAATAACTCCCTATCTCCCCAGGATAATCTCCAAATATTCTAATCTCCAACTAAGGAAAAAAGATCCTTACTTTGATCACATCTGCAAAATCCCTTTGCAGATGTGAGATTCATAAGACAACATACTCACAGCTTCAGAGGATTTCGACAAGGTCATCTTTAGGGGGCCATTATTCTGTCTACCAAGATAGATAAGCCAAAAATATAGTACCTGTCTCATAAGGGTGTTTATAAGAAATAAAAGTAAAACACTAAGAATAGTTCCTTTTCCTTTAATGAACTCAGCCATTAACGCCTACTGTCTGGAGCTAGCTGCTGGAGGATGGGAGATGGGAAGGATGGAGCCTAGAGTGGAGTGTGGTTGTCAGAGGCAAGGGTTGTGCTAAAGCTCTCTCAGTCCACTCTGGTTTTGTAATGAATCCCTGTTTGGCATTAGGGAAATCAGTCACATAATTTTTTATTCTTATGAGTATGAAAATACTGATGCCATGATAATGCCAGGGCAGAAAATAAGAGGCTGGAGGGATCTTACAAATCTAACCTAAATTTCTAAATTGTATAAAGAAGAAATCTGCCTGAACTCTAGAGGGAGATTTATCCAAGGACACATGTTTGGTTGAGGAAGAGCTGGGATGAGGACCCAGGACTCTAGACCACCTGCCTGGTGTTCTTCCTACTGTGTGTGACTCACTTAGGGGAGACTTGATAGCCTAGCAAGTGTTTGCCAACTGCCTTTCAACTGCTACCTGGCACACGGAAATAGCATTTAATCAGAATTAAAAATAAAACTTAACACTTGAGTTTAAAATGGGCTTTCTTGAATACAGTTTTGTATTCTGGATTAGATCTTGGAACAGAAAAGGGGTATTAGTGGAGAAACCAGTAGGATCAGAATTTAGTTGGTTTCTCAGTTTTGACAAATGCACCATGATAAGGCAAAATGCTAAAGAAAAGAAGGCTTGTTGAGGAGTATGTGAGAACTCTCTGCACTCTCTTTGCAACTTTCTTGCATGTATAAAATTCTACATACAATTTTATTTTTTAAAATGTGATCATTTCTTTTTCTGTGATAATACCGTATTATTTTAAACCAAGTTTTTTACTGTGTAGTAAAATGTCCTGGCATAGTCATTAATCTGGCTGAGCTCCTTTGCTCTGGCTGGTCCCTAAGCCCAAAATGTTCTTCCTGACAGTGGCATGGCTCGCTCAGTGAATTGTCTCCCAAGCAGGCTATCTAAAGACAAGAGATAAGGAAAAAAACACTTCTGAGAATGGAACCCGAACCCCTGAAAATTTTGTCTCCCTCACCTGCTTTCTCTTTCTCTTTAGCATTCAGTACTTTTGAACACACAGCCCATTTCTCATGTGTCTGACTTATTACAGGCATCCACCACCATGAGGGTAGGGATATTTTATTTTTATCTGTTTTGTTCATTGCGGTATTTCTAGTAACCAGAATCATGTCTGGAACACAGAGGAAGGCATTTAATAATAGATATTGAATGAATGAATGAATGAATGAATGAATGAATGAATGAATCAATGAATCTATTCTATAAGTTAAGGGTCCATGTGTTCCTAGCACCGCACCTGACCCACAGCAGACACTTAGCAAATATCCACTTTAAATATAAGGAATCTGTGGCACAAGAAGATCAAATTATAACACCAGGAAGTCACATAGTTTATAGGTGGCAGGTCTGAGATAAGAAGACAAGCTTCCTGGTGATAGGGGTTTATTTAGTACATCACATTTCTTCATGCAGAGGTCCACACCAGGGCAGATGTATGCTGCACTGTGTGCCTCACCCCAGTTTCCATGTCTGTTTTCACTCCTTCAAGGGAAGCACGGCTGAGTTCACTAAATAATCCGCTAAGTACAGAGGAGGAATGTGTTATGTTGTTGGCTTCCTAATGGCCGTTGGTGCTAAGCTTGACTAAAATCCATTTCAAGAAGACTTATCCAGAGAGTAGCTTGTCACCGTGACTCAATAAGAATGCTTTAAGTGCTGGGGACAAAAAGAAAGAACAGATCAGGTGGGCAATGTGGTAAGACAAAGCCATTACTCCATTCCTTCCGACTTAATCAATCCAATCCAATAAGTATTTGCTGAGGACTTCTTTCATGTCGTGCACTATACCAGCCTTTTTGAGGCCTAAAAGAGAAGCCCAGCAGCTGTTTTGCAAAAGAAAATACAAGAGCTAATGCTGTAGTCCACTAAGGCTAAGAAGATAGTGACAGAGTTCTCGTCTTGGCAGAACAGGAATACAGCCAGGATTAGCCCTTCTTGAAACAGAGGCTCACAGCCATTCTTGCTACAACCTCCAAGACGAGGCCCTACTGAGCTTAGAGGAGGCTTACACTTGATGTGTAACAATATATATTGCTTATATAACTCATTCCAGACCTCTGCAATGTTCCCTGAAGGCCATAAGAGCATCCTTGGTCCACACCACTCTAAGTGACTGAAATTAAATAAAATTATTAATGGATAAAAGGAGACAAAATTTCTGGTGAGTGAAGATCTTTAAATCTCTCTCTTCTTTCATTGTAATTTCAAAAACAAAACAAACAATGCACCAAAGCCTGAGAGCAGTAGAATCCTTGTACCAGTTTATCAATGGTTGGAACAGAAATCATTCCTGAGATATTCTTTCTCCTTCCCTGCTTTGCCTTTTGTCTTTCTTTTCATTCATCTTTCTTCACTCATCTACCTCATTTCTCCCCATTTTTTTTCCTTTTCTGCTTTATTTTCCTTTCCTCTATGCCTACTATGTATAAGATACTATTAATACCTTGGTACCAGTGGAAAACCCAGGACTTCAGAGAAAAAACCTTTTCCCTCAGTGGTTGATTTATTTACTTAAAACTTTTATGAGGGCCTGCGATCTGCCGGGTACCTTATATCATAGAATATATAGTTTCTAACTAACCTTTGTAATTAAGAAGAATCAATATGAAATAGGGGGAAGAGTAGGTGCTTTGCCATCAGACCACCACGGTCTTGAGTCTTTCTCCTCTGCTAGGGTCTTACTGAGCTTGGAAATTATTTCCTTCATAAACTAAATAAAGATATATATTTACCTTTCTGCTTGGTTTGAGAATTACATAAAATAGGACATTATAGCAACTTAGCACTGTGTAGAGAAGGGGCTTAGTGAAGAGTCTCTGTTGATGGAATTCAAACCAGAAAATTAATGCTTTAATCGGGGAGATAAGATACAAGAAGTATTCATAAAATTACACCTCACGTTAGAATATCATTTTAAATGGTGTGGCAAACTTCACATATATTACCTCTTTTACTGCACACATTGGATCTATTTTATACATCTGGAAAAAAAATGGAGCACAAAGGGATGGATTGCTGGAAGGTGAAGGAGGACATCATGGCCAATCCAGCTCTTGGTACTTCACACCTATTCTCTTTCTATCCCAGTAGGTCAGCTGCGAGCTCCGTCCCATAAATTAGCAAAATGACAGAGGAAAGCTTCAAGAATGCAAAGTGCAAGAGGCAGGTGAGCAGAGGACAGAGAGATGGTGTCATGTCATTTGGGCGCCGGGAAAGGTGAGGGTGACCAAGACACATTTCTTTTCCTGCCTTTGTTCCTTTGCCTTTCCTACTGGCTAATGTTCACACTTGCTTGTTTAGCTTCTGGCCCCCTGAAGTGTGCTGCAAACCAGCTTTAAAAAAATGGAGCCAGTGCACATGCCTAAGAAAAACCACATCATCTCCTTAGGAAGCAATGCAGTAAGAGTTGGGTTTGTTCATCTTAATCATTTTGTGGCGGTATTATTAAGTTAGGGGAATAAATAGCAGATGTCAACAGAATATTGTTTACATGTGCTTATTCCTCTAACAATTATTTTTCAATGATAAATAGAATGGTAGATGTATCACTTAAATTCCAGGAAATTTGGAAAAATTCAAGGCATACCCATTCCTCAGTCCGTCATTTTGGAAGTCTAGATTCACCCTTCAGTGTAGTCACTCGCTTCCCACAGTTAATATTTCACTGAAAGTTTTGTTTTTTGTTTTTTGTTTGTTTGTTTGTTTGTTTGTTTTACATGGAGTCTTGCTCTGTCACCAGGCTGGAGTGCAATGGCACCATCTCAGCACACTGCAACCTCTGCCTCCCAGGTTCAAGCGATTCTCTTATCTCAGACTTTCGAGTAGGTAGGACTACAGGAGCCTGCCACTATGTCCAGCTAATTTTTGTATTTTTAGTAAAGACGGGGTTTCGCCATGTTTGCCAGGATGGTTTTGATCTTTTGACCTCATGATCCACCCACGTTGGCATCCCAAAGTACTGGGATTACAGGCACGAGTCACTGTGCCCAGCCAGTTTTGTTTTATGTAGTCTTAATATGCAAACATTGAAATTTGAATGAAAAACAAGTCATATATTAATTGTGATTTAGCACATTTGTTTTTAATAAACCCTGTAGATGTTACTGCATATTTCTGGGAATTCAACTTAAAAAATGTAATATGATTAAGCTTCCATGGAACAGTTAAAAGTCTTATAAAAATATAGCAGGAAAATAAAGAAAGAATTCTAAACATACACCAAATTCTCTTTTTTAACATTTTTTCCTTCACATTAAATCATCTCAATTTGGAAAGGTTACATACACTTAAGCACATGATGTCATATAATAAATCAAGATAAATGGAAAATATATAATTCCTTTTACAGAGTATGATTTCAATACTTAATTCATCTTCTCCTTTTTTGACAGAGAGTTTCAATATGAATCTAAGCTCCAATTCACAATGCACAAACTATAGCTGTTTATTACAATGTTGTGCCATTTGTCACTTTTATGGAATTCAGTGTATTTTGCAGGCTGTAAAATGGGCTAGAGTGATTCAGAAATGATCTATGCCATCATTATTCCTCATTTCTGGTACTTGAATTGCATCTACTTTCCCCAACAGGTTTGATTTCTTAAGTAAATAAATAACAATATGTTTCAATAATATGTATGTATCGAGACTTCATTAGCTGCCCAGAAGATACTATTCTGACTTTAAATAATTGAAACATACCAGTGATGGAGTCCAACGGACTTGAGATGATTGGGTTATAAATATTTACTAAAGCCTAGTGGTGGGGGGAAGATACTTTCAGAATAGACTGGAAATGAAGAGAGACATTCAAATGATGGTAAGTGTTCTTCATAAAAGTCTAGAGATTTAGAGGTTTCTTCTCTCAAAATAGAAATAGTAGCATAGAGTGGAAGGTGAGCATATTTGTTTATTTTCTAAGAATCTGAAACAGAACTTCCTCCAACCTTCAGCTGAGTGACTTTTAAAAAGTACCTGTAATACTGGTTGAATTCATCAGTAAATAAATTCCCAAGCCAATCCAGTGCTAAGGGTTAAACCCCATATTCCAATAAAGCCAGACCTAGGAAGTGGAGTTTATCACTCTCCTCAAGACTAACCCTTTATCTTAGTTGAAGTTATTTAACTGCTAAGTTAAATGACTGCTGTGACCTAACTAAACACCTTATAGCTCACTGTATGTGACGCACATATGATGAAGTAAGTTTAAATCTATAGTTAAGAAGTCATGTTCAATGTTGTTTTTGAAGTTTCTAGAATGCTTCATGTCAGAGGCCATTTATAACAGGTGCAGCTTCAACAGTTTATAAAGATAAACTGACTGAAATTTCTAACATCCCCCAGATGGCATATTTTGGCTGAAAATGCATTTTGAGAAGGAGAATATTTATTGCTTTTCTAAAATAGATTTGGAACTTTTTTCCTTCTAATTGGGAAAAAAAAAAAAACCAAAACTGTCTCCCAAGTGATGACTAGATGCTAAAGGAGGAGGTGGATTTTTTTTTCTCTAAAAGTAAACTGGAAAGCTCTTTCTAATAGCAAGAGAAGACTCCAAAAAGTGTAAAATAGTTGCTAAAGGAATGATATATCTACACCAAAAACTTTCTGTATGTGTGTGCACATGTAATTCTGGTGTGTCGTGTGTGTATGTGCATGTGTATGTGGTGTGTATATGTGTGGGTGTTTATGTGCACGTGTGTGTAGATGTATGTGGTATGTATGTGTATGTGGTGTGTGCATGCGTGTTTTATTTTGAGGAAAGGAAAATAACATAAAACTTAACACGGACTATGGGCATTTATATCACTTTTCTCCTTAAACCAAAAAACAAGCAAAAACCCCATCTTTCTCCTTGTCCAATATCATATGGCTAGCAAGGGAACTCAGATATCCAGCAACCAACTGAACCAGTAATCTATTTAGAAAGGTTAGAAATGTGGATTGGGGGTGAGGGCTTGGGAGGGAGTAGGGAGGCAGAGCCTACAGGTCTGGTAAGGAAATATTCCAAACTAGAGGAGCAGACGGAGCTGGTCTGGAGGAACAGGAGACACCCAGGCAGGAGAAAGGGGATTCTGTGGCTCTCCTCAGGGCTTCCTTAGGATTCCCTGCTGGCTGGGGCTGTGAGAACATGAAATTTCATTTTTAAAAACAAAAAGGAAGTTTGAGGTGGGGCTTCTGGTGAGTCGTGCCTTTTCCTAAAGCATGAGGCTTCTCCCCAAGGAGCCAGAGAGAATGACACATGAAGTATAGTGAATCAAACACACGCTTGTGGACACTGAACCCATTTATTTGAGGCATGATAGAAGAGCCTGCATTAGCACAGGATGGCATATATTCTTTTCTTCCAGGAGCCTGGACAGAGTTCTGCACCTTTCTGCCCTCCTTCTCCTCCCAACTCCCACAGGTAATTGCCTCTCAATGCTGCTTAGTGACTGAGGACTGAGGCTTGTGTGGAGAGGTGGTGAGGGGAGCAGAGTGAGATTGGAAAGTACGGATGCATCATCTGAGGAAGCCTGGCCAGGCCTATGCCTGGGCCCCACTCTCTCCTCACCCAGGACCAGTGCCAAGGCTGTGTGGCTATAGGGTGTGTACACCCCATCTTCCCGCCAGCAAAGGCTTGACACTGGTCCCCGACTTCTCCCTCCCAAATCTTTGGTTTCTGTGGCCTAATATCTTAGGTCCTAAGAAGGAGATCCTGGGCATGCAATATGTCTTAGATAAAACACCTGGCCTCAGGAATCATCTTCTCTTGGTTTTGTTTGCTTGTTTCTTTAATTTTATTTTTTAAAAAATTACAGTGGTAAAAAAACCTCCCATTTATGCAAAGACCTTGAATTCATCTGTGAATGTTTCTCCTCTTCCACTCTGCCCCTCTGCCCTCCTTCTCCTCCCAACTCCCGCAGGGCAGTCCATGGTTCACCAATAATAGCTTTTTCATAATGCCAGTCACAATATGGATTAGACAATTTCTAAGGTCAGTTCCATGTTATTCTTAAATTAGTGGAACCAAAATTTCCTAAAGTAAAACCCATGATGATAGGATTAAATAAGGTTAGCATTGAAAGAAATCATTCTACAGCATTTGCATATGGCACATAAGGCAAGTACAGGCTTGGAGAAGCTCCAGGGGTGCGTATCAGAAAAAGACACAACACAGTCATAATTCTCTCCATCCTTTCCTTCTTCTTTCCTTTTTCTTTTTTTTTTTTGGCTTTTTTTCTCCTTGCAATCTATGACAATATCTGTGATTTTCCTAGAAGTTTATTCTTTGCCAAATCGGGAAAGGAGTAACTACTCACCCTCAAGGCCCTATCATATTCATGACCTACGCCAACCACTGATGGTCTTGACGGCCTTCCATGGATCTCTGATCTACCTACTCACAATCCACATAGATTGGTGGGACAGTCCCACACTCTAGAACTCCCTCTCTGGAGATGCCAGGTGTGTGAATTAGGGAATCTAGCTAATAGGGAACAGGGATGGACAGAGAGCTAGAGTGGTTAGGGCTCAATGTGAGGAACTAAGTGTATGAGTTTCCTGTTGCTTCTGTCACAAATTACCACAAACTTAGTGCTTAAAATGCCACAAATGTATTATCTACAGCGCTGAAGGTTGGAAGTCCAAAATGGATTTCACGGGCTAAAATCAAAATGTCAGTAAGATTGCCTTCCTTGTGGAATCTCTAAGGGGGATTCATTTCTTTGCCTTTTCTAACTTCTAGGGGCTGTTTACATTCTTTCACTGTGTCCTCCAGGGAGCAAATGCATCACTCTGACCTCTGCCTTTTCTCAGGTTCTGACCTTCCTGCTTCCCTCATACAGGGACTCTTGTGATTATATTGAACCTAACAGTACAATCCAGGATAATCCCCCCATCTCAAGATCCTTACCTGAGTCACATCTGCAAATTCCCTTTTCCACACAAGGTAATGTGCACAGGTCCCAGGGACTAGAGTATAGACATCTATGAGGAAGGGGCATTATTCTGCCCACCACACTAAGCTTCAGTATCCTCAGGTATATGTGGGACATGGGGATGTACTTGAATGTACTTGGACATGGACACGTAATTGGATATGGAGATGTATTTGGACATGGGGATGTACTCGGACATGGAGATGTACTTGGGCATGGAGATGTACTTGGGCATGGATATATACTTGGACATGGAGATGCACTTGGACACGGAGATGTACTTATGACTATATTAAAATACCCAATACAAATTAATTTGGAATCACTCACTGATTCTGCAAATGTTTCTTTAGTATCTGTTATGTGTCAGACACTGTGATGGCAGAGGGAAGAGGTGGAAAAGAGCCCCCAGGTGCTTACAGCATGGGAGGAGATTGCATTGAAGAAGTCAACAAAAGTCTTGAAAATCCTTGAAATTAATATTTAAATATATAATACTCTACAGCACTCACACTTGCCATTTTGTTTAACAAATAATTACTGAGCATCAGGTTTGTCTGCCATTGGGCTGGGCACTCAGCATAGAGCAGGAAGGATGAAAATTTCTGCTTTAGAGGAGGTTTTTGTCTGATGGAAGAGACACAAAATGAACAAAGTTGAGATAAGTGTCATAAAGAAAATAAAAGGCATGGATGGATTACTTTAAATTGATTGTTCAAAGACGATCTCTTTGTGGGGACGGTATTTAAGTTGATGCCAGAAAGACGAGAATGTGCTAACCAACTATGTGTAGGGCTCTGGGAAGAGCATTGTAGTAGAGAGAGCAGAAAGTGCAAAGGCACTGAGACAAATAAAAACTCGATGCTTTTGAGACCAGGAAGAGGGCCCAATTAGTTGGAGGAAAGCTGGGGTAAAAAAGAGTCATGAATTTTGATGACAATTTTTGGTCGATTTAAAGCGAACCTACCACTCAATCTGAGGACTTCTGAAGACCTCCCAGCCAGTCTCAACATGGAGTATAGCCTGGAGCTCCCAGGCACTCTGTCTTCACTATTAGCTATCACTTTTGGAGGTCAATAAATACTGCATTGGAGGGGTTTATTGTTCTTTGAATGTCTCCAGAGCAGCAAGTACTGCCTAAATGTTTTACTTCCAGTCATGCTCATATAGTTTTTAATTCGCCACCTGGAGTATGGAAGAGATTGCACAGAAAGATGTTCTGTGCCTGATGATAAAATCTAGTGCTGAGGGGCATGCAGAGGGAGAAGAATGAACATTTGGAAAGAGAATTGAAGACTCCATAATCAAGATCAAAAACGCATCCCATGTGAACAACTCTGTGAGAAGATTTGGCTCTGAGATAAGGATCAAATTAGGTGACAATCATAATTGTGGCTTACATGAGCCCCAAATATATCAATTACTTGAAAATTACCCACACTTTTCCCTTTCATTATTTCAGCTAGTCACGAGCCTAGCCTCTAGAAACCAGACACAGCTGATGTACATATCCATGGTAATTTATTTCTTTCTACAGTTGATCAATTTCTACCCACTGATGACTGAACACTACTCTCCAATCTCTGGACCCCTTCCCAGGCAAAAACACATGACACAAATACTTATGGTTAATAACTGAGGGTACAAACCAGACCCTCACTGCTGGCTTACCAACTTGTTAACTAGGAGGAGAGGTGAGGATCGCATGAACGAATCCACTCTGAGTCTGCCGCTTTCTGAAGCCATTTATGTGGAAAGATGTCTGTGTTGGTCTCCACTTCTCTTTCAGAATGCCTCTTCTATGTCCCGAGTCACGATTATTACATTTTATTAAGTGCTTTGTTTCTAATATGCCCCACCTACTTCCTACTCTGTAGGATGCAGAGACGGATGGAGCATCTGGGGCTGTCAGGAAAGCCACATTTTCCCTGAGAGCAAATGGCTTGCTCACTACCTGTGAGTTAAAGACACACCATGAGAGCTACAGCCTATCAGCCTTAAAAAGAGCCTTCCTCATTCTCCTTCTTGCAAAAGTTCATTGCAGACCAACTAGGGACTAGTACTAGAGAGAAAAAAGAAGCCACAGCATTCATCTACACGTTTCTCACCTTTTTATGATCACATATTGTTCTAGAATTTATTTTAACACTTGACTCCAACTAAAGATCCAACAAATAGTTATTTTCTCTACTTCTAAGAAAATTCTTAAAAAAAAAAAAAGCTGTCTTTGCTATCTGTTGACACTCCCTAATTTCTATTTTTTCTCCTCAGCCCACTCCAGTCGGTTTTTGTCCTCCACCACACTCTTTAAAGGTCATCGGTGACTATAGCCCTTCTCAAGGAAAATGTTTAATTCTCTGTCATCTTACCCTTTCGGCAACATTTCCCGTGAATCCAAAATTTTACTATGCTACACTCAGTTTTCCTCATCTGTCAAAATCCACTCTTTCTTGCCCTCCTTTGCTGGGACTCCATCATCTATTAGACCTCCAAATCTGAAAATGTCCCAGAACTCAGTCTTCAAACCTCTTCTCTATGTATATACTTTCTTTAGTTGCTCTTCTCCTCCCCCTAGCTTCAATGCCATTTCACCACTGATGTGTTCCAAATACCAGTCCCACTCCTCAAAACTGTAGTCTCACATCTATTTACTTCACATCCTCATTTGCATACTGTATAAAGTCAAACTATAAAAGGCTGACACTGAGCTATTTACTTGTCTCCTCCAAATTCCCTCTTCACCACCCACAAAGCCTTCCTTCTCTCTATAAATGGCCCCAATATTCACCCAACTCTTCAGGTCAAACCTAGGGAAAAACCTTGATTTCTCCTTTTCCTTCCCATCCTACAACCAATTTAGTAGTTACCCTATCAGGTCTACATTTATCTGTCTACCTATTTCTCTATTATCGATCTATTCATCTATCATCTATTATTTGCCTATATTTCTATATATCTATGTATCATCTATGTATCACCATTTTTCCAGCTACAGCCCTAGTTCAAGCCACCACCATCTCTCTTCTAGACCTCTGCAACAGCTCCCAAACCCATCTCCCTGCTGCCCTTCTTGTCCCTAAGTCGTTGCTCCACCAGCTGCCAGAGAGAATTTTCTAAACCTTAAATCAGATCTCTCCACTTCCTTCTGCCCTCTCCTCAAAACTTTCCCATGCTTTTCCCTTGAAACTTGGATGAAATCCAGACTTGATGATCTGGTTCTCGTCTCTCTCTCCAACCACTTATCTCCCCATCCATGCCTCCCTGGCACAAATGTTCCATCACATAGGATGTTACTTGTGCCTTGAGGATACCATGCTCACTGCTGTCTCAACCCTTCTTCTTGGGAAGCGCTTTATCTAAATCTTTAAGTGGCTCCACCATCTTAGTATTTGGGTTACAACCACACTTATATATGATGTTCATTGCTCAATAAAGCAATAAGAATGATTATTGTACCTATATATCAATTATAATTCATTAAATATTTATGAAGTTTATTATACCTATTGTAAAAAAATACACTTTAAATATTTTTTCTTTGTCTCTTCTTGCTGAAAGAAGGCTCCCTGAGTATAGGGCTCTTTGGTTTATTCATTAATGAATCCTTTCTGCCTAGAAAAGGGCCTGAGTATAGAAGGTACTTAATTACCTCTGTTGAACGAATGAACTCAAATATCTATCCCTCAGACCTTCCCCAATCATGCAGGGTAAAGCAACACAAATACCCATGCAGTTATTTCTTATCCACATTATATTCTTCATCAGCAACTGAAATGCATTGATTTGCTTTTCTTTATATGCCTATTTTTTCCTGTCTTCCCCACTACAATCTAAGACCCTTGAAGATGGAGATCTGTGCCAGTTTTGCTCACTGCTGAGTCCCTGTTGCTGAAAATACTGCTTGGCATATGGTAGCAGCTCAGCAGACACTTTCAGTCTGACCAATTTTGATGTCCTGCCACAAGCAAGGAGAGTTGACATGTCCAGGAGGAGCCACTTCACACAGTCCAGGGCTGCACACAGAAACACATCGCTGTTGTATTCTGAGTGTGCACACGACAGTGTCTACAGTCTATACTGTGCTCTGGGTGAGGTAGGGGTTTTGGCTGAGAGCCTCTGTTCAGTACCCAGGACCAATCCCAGGAAATAGGATAACATGGCTTAAATTGACTTTGGCACTTTTTTTTTTTTTTTTTTTTTTTGAGCATTCTCCCAACCTCAATGCCCAGGTTGCTCATGTATGCTCACTCACTGGCTGGGACCAGCAGCCCGTGGACACTGCTTGTGCTCCGGGCTCTTCCCCTCTTCTCTTTATTAACCTATATATCTTTGAGTCCATTTTCCTACCTATAATGCTTTGAGTTGAGGGTGGTAGCAAAGGGATGAATCAGAAAAGCAAATGTCCATGAATGTTGCCGTATCCAAGGGGACAGAAGATGTACAACCCATTTAAGGTGCACTGAAAACCTTTGAAGAGTCAAAGTAATTGGAAGGGGCAGATGTTAAAACCTGGAATGGGCAATAAGGGAGATGTTTTGAGGACATGTCATGTCTCCACTTATTAGATAGTGTGTTCTCTATAAGAGACTGTCCCTACATGTACCTTCCAGGTCAGATTCAGTGTGACAAAGTTGAGCGGTCTGGGGTGGCACTGAGAGCCTCACTTTGATCCCTCACAACCTCAAGTCAACTATTGCTACCTTTTCCTCCCATGTAGACTGTTTGTTTAAGGTAACAGGTAGGTTACCTTCTATACAACTCTGAAATTTCATACATCATCTGATCAAACTGACTTCACAAATGAAAATGAAGACTAAGGCCCAGAAAGGGGGTGAGAGCTGCCCAAGGTGACACAGCCCCAGTGATGGGGCCAGACCAGAACCAGAGCTCCTCACAGCCCAGAGCTCAGTTCTTGCCATCCCCTGCACCTGAGCCAAGTGCTGGCATCTTCTATTCAGTCCTCAGTGGATGTTGTTGACATCTTAAGGAGAACGCTCCTTAAGATATCTTGAGATTTCTGACCTCAGGATGGTTACTGGGGGTTGTGGTGGGTCAGAGAGGAAAGAATGGGATGGAGAGAAAAGAAATAGAGATAAAGATCAACCCAGACCCCTTTTAATTACTCAAATCTCCTTTAGCAATTGTGGATTCACTAATATCACCTCTCCTATGGGAAGTTGTTCCTGACCATCTAACCCAAGATGGTCTCACATTTTCCTGTTTCCTTTTCTTCCTAGTACACTAGAAATCATCTTATGTATCTGTTGTCTTGTTATTATCAGTCTTGCCCACTAGAAGGCCAGCTTCAAAAAGATGGAATCTTGTGTGTTCTATTGCGCTGATATTTCCAATCCTGAAACAGTGGAAGCTGCTTAGTAAATAGCTGTTGAATTAATTATTGCTGAATAATTCAAAGGTTATGGCATAGACTTTGAAACCACGAAATTCTAAAATATATTTTTTTCTCAAACCAACCTATTTATTTGATCCTTCCATACTTCTACTGTTTGAATCAAATAAATCAAATGTTTCTACTGTGGAAAAAAAAAATAAAGAAACCCTCTATTTCAGATAGCTGACAGCCTAAAAGGCTGGTCAATCACTTATAACTTATTTGCTGTCCATCCTACATTATCACTTTAACTCATCTCTCATAAAATAACAGAAAACTACTGAAAAACCACTTGCCTCTCTTGAATCCCCCTGATATAAACTCAGAGTGAAAAGGTAAAAATATTGCTCTCCCCAGAGGAAAGTAATGCCACCGTAGTTGTGGTTAGAGGGACGGCATTGTTATTCCTAGGCGCTGGAAATCTATCATCTTCAACTCTTCCATCTACCTGGGAACAGACTGTGGTAATAACTCCAAGGAGCTGTGTTTCAACTCCAGCTGTGGATCCAATTTCCGCTTATAAGATTTAACCTGGAAATTATCAGTGACAGCAGCAGGGGGAAAATGAACAGCTGATTTGGGAGATACAGCGGGAGAAGCTGGCCCAGCCTGGCAGGAGGAAAAGACGAATGCCGCATAAGGCAGACTGGCATAAAGGATGTCCTTGTGGAAATGAAATGTGATGTACAGTAATTCCAACTGTGAAGCCACCAAACGGCCTATTAACAAATAAATGGCTTGATGTGATTATACATAAGACAAGTGAAATTAAACAACATCACATGCAATGAAAGCTGCATCTGGGAGCACTGACTGAGAGCTGGTGAGAGGTTTAAGCAGCAAGAGGAGAGGACGACTGAATCATGCTTTGAATGAGGAAATTAAAGGAAAGGTGATAAACGGGGAAAAGTCTATTTAATTGGGGTGTTGATGCGGGAGTCATTAGTCTCTGACTCTAAAATATTAAAGAGAAAAACTGAGAATAGAAAGAATGTATAATGGGCAAGGTGCAGTGGCTCACACCTGTAATCCCAGCACTTTGGGAGGCCAAGGTGGGTGGATCACCTGAGGTCAGGAGTTCAAGACCAGCCTGGCCAACATGGTGAAACCCTGTCTCTACTAAAAATAAAAAAATTAGCCGGGCGTGGTGGTGGACATTTGTAATCCCAGCTACTCAGGAGACTGAGGCATGAGAATTGCTTGAAGCTGGGAGACAGAGCTGGGAGACTCATTGATTGAAGCAGTGAGCCAAGATGGTGCCACTGCACTACAGCCTGGGCAACAAGAGTGATATTTGGCCTCAGAAAACAAAAACCAAAAAAAAGAAAGAAAGAAAGAAAAGAAGAATGAAAGAATGGAAAATGGAAAATGGAAAGTCACCAACTTTCAGCATCTTTAGCTGTAGATATTACATTTACTCCATAATTGTTACTACACCCCAAAGGGCCAGGCACTGTGCTAATTCAGAGAGGACTAGAGACACCATCTCTTTCTCCTAAGAGATGAAGTTTTGTGAATAGACTAGACAGCCGGAAAATAGAGGAGCAAACTTGTAATGGGAATCAATGCAAAACTACACTCTTTGCATGTGAAAAACACAAACCCCCTAACACCTTATTAATTGTCTTTGTATATATTGTCTCATCTGATCCTCACGACATCGTCTGAGCGATGCATCGCTGCCCCACTGCCCTGGCAACAAAACTGAGGATCTGAGAGACTTAACACATCACAGAGCTAACAGCTGAAACAGCTGGGATTTGAATTCTGTGTTTACACCAAAAACCATGTACTTGCCACTATACCATGTTATCTCTGCCAGTACCTAGCTGAAACAACTTCTGGTTAATCTATGACATACACAAGGCTTTCTGTTTCTTGAGCTTCATGTCTCATTAATGTGGCCCCATTTTACTTTTTCATAGAGCAGGTACCTTTCATACCTCTCTCTCATCAGGATCAGAAATTCATTTGCAATCTAGATAATTGGAAAAATTATGTTTTATTTTTCTCAAGAGTATTTGAATGTTAACATGAGCTGCAATGTAGCCTTAAGATCAGAGTGAATTAAAAACTCCAAACAGTAACCAGGTCAGAAACTGGAAAGAAGAGGTATTTGAGGGAGGAAAGAAGTCTTTAAAAGCCCTGCACAGATGACCTACTGATATTCAGTTCAGGAGTAAAGCAAAGGAGTCCACTACAAGGGACCCAATGGACAAGACAGGCCTCTGATGTAGTAGCATCTTTTAAGCTGTGTCGAGCTGCAGTCAGCTGTCTCAGGTCTATGGTCTGCAACAGTGTTCACCACTCGGGAGGGTGCTGGCTGAGCCGGAGCTCAGAGGAAACTTCTCTCAGCCAGGAGCCTCACCACAACACTAGGAGGCAGCAAAGTACCTGGGAAAGGAATTCACTTCAACTCACTTTAGCTCTGCAAGTATTTACTATCTGGAGAACACGTGTCCTTCTTCTAGAGTTGTAAATATGGTGAAAAACTAAAAATTTTAGCCTTGATCACTTGAGAAGATACAATCTCATTGAGGATATAAGAGAAATAAATCCACAGTCAAAATTTTCAGACAGGGGGGGCAGCAGGCATGATGGGGACCATTCCAGAGAATGGTGACACCAATAATATCTCTTAGGAAACAGGGAGAGACCAAAGTGAGCTACACAGTTAAGGAAGGCTTAGTGGACGGGTGGACTCTGAATTTTTATAATTGTGATGGTAGAAATGGGGAGATCATCCTTGATAGCAAGCATGAGTCCAGATGGAGAAATGAGCTTAGAGAAAATGAGTGTAGTAGAGGATGGATTGCAGGGACACTAGACTGACTCAACAGAGGAGGCTTTGTGGTGCATCTATTATGTGCCAGACCAGGGCTGTGGGTTTCCAGTCATCATTTCATTCACTTTTCACAATAGCTGTGCTGCAGGAAGAACTCTGTTCACCTCTAGTATAAAAAGCATCTCAGAGATAAGTAACTTGTCTGATCTGCAACAGTCAGAGCCAAGAATTGAAAGACCATTTGCACCATCCTTCACTCCATGTCTCCATGGTTCAGATGCAACTGAGATAAAGGTAGAAACTGTCCTTGACCTTGAGGAACACACAGGTTGTCTGGGGAAAGACAGACAAATTCATCAGGAATTTCAATCCAGTATAATGTGTCACAGAAACCAAGTAAGACAGGGTCTTGTTTTATGAAAGACACCGTATGGTACTTGAGGTGTATCTGGAAAAATAAACAGAATATACTCAGGCAAAGAAAAGAGCAAAGGTTGCTTCAAAGTGAGGAAACAGCCTGTGGACAGTGCCAGAGGTGAGGAAGGGTCTGGCGCATACAGAGCACTCCACACCAGCAGGTGCCAGGGGCTTAGAACACAGACTCTGCCAGCAGATGTCTGGTGGAAGTCCTGGCCCTGCTCCTTCCTGGCTGTGTGGCCTTTGGAAAGTCACTTAACCTCTCTGTGCCTCAGTTTTCTCACCTGTAGAGACAACAAAAATACACATCGCCCAAGGTTATTGAGGAGCAAATGATCTAACATTTGTAAAGAACTTAGAACCATGCCTGGCAAATATGTAATGTGGTGTGGCCAGGTAAATCATGGAAAGGGCCCTTTGTCCTATGCTCACACACTTGGGGATTTGTCTTGAGATTGGTGTGAGGATGTTGAGGAAACATAATGAGAACAGTAAAGTCTCTGGATTCGCATTTTAGAAAGCTGAGGGTGAAGACTTGCAGTCATTTAAATGAAAAATGAGGGAGGCCAGAAGCTCAGGCAGTGGCAATAGACAGGGCAAGGATAAAATGGGCTCAAAAGATACTAAGAATGGAATATGAGAGAATTAAGTGACAAATGGATGAAGGCAGCAGTGGTCTCTAAGTTTTAGGTTTGGGGAAATTATGGTTTCCAAAGGAGGTAGAATGCTGTCCTTTGACCCTTGCCCTTGCCTTCCAGCCCCTCATCACCCCATTCACCTCCCGGGCTGTCTGCCTGTGTGTGAAATGAGGGCTTTCCAGGATAGGAGCTCTCACCACCCGTCCAGCTCTCAGAGTCTTTGGGGCTGCCTTTATGGTGAGTGGCTACAAAGTGCATGTGTGAGTCCAGCTGTCTCCAACCAGGATGGCCTCCTCGCCCTCTGTCTTCCTGTTTTTACCGACATGTTTTCTTTTTTATTTATTTCTGTTTTGGATTTTTTTTTTTTTTTTTTTTTTTTTTTTTTTGAGACACAGTCTCACTCTGTCACCCAGGCTGGAGTGCAAGTGGCACGATGTCGGCTCACTGCAACCTCCACCTACCACGTTCAAGGGATTCTTCTGCCTCAGCCTCCCGAGTAGCTGGGACTACCAGTGCGCACCAACACGCCCAGCTAATTTTTGTATTTTTAGTAGAGACAGGGTGTCCCAATGTTGGCCAGGCTGGTCTCGATCTCCTGACCTCGTGATCTGCCCGCCTCGGCCTCCCAAAGTGCTGGGATCCATAGGCGTGAGCCACCGCTCCCGGGTATATGGACATGTGTTCTAATGGTCTGCTTAGAAATGAGGCTTTAAGTCAGCTGCCTCTTCTCAAATGAACACGGGGAGATGGGTGACAGCGGTGAATGACTCTCTATTTGGAGAGTCACCCCATGCTGCAGTTCCCTCCTGGGTCATATGACACCGAGGCAGAAGCCAGTGAGTGTATGGGGCCAGCTCCCACCTACCCCCTGCACACTGACAAGAGAAACTTCCCCAGGGCACAAGGAAACGACCCAAATAAACAAATAATGTATCCCCAATCCCTCTCCTTCGCCATCCCCTGCTAACGCAAAATGAATCTAGTCACTAAGAAAATTAAATATGATACTTGCTTTGATTTTTATTTCTATGTGCTCGTGTGCTTCTGCCCTTAAAAGGCAGCCCCTCCTTTTTTAAGGCCATACATCAGAGTACTTTAAACACATCTCTCTTTAAGTGGAACTAAATAAGACGGTCCACATTTCAATTTCTCTTTCTTAGAGTCAACTTTCATATGTGTGCCTCAGGAGAAACAAGTTCAATTTTTTCTTCACCCATTACAAGCTGCTGGTGCCATAGGAACATTCAGGCGTGGAGAGAAAGGATGTCATTTCATTCTACCTGTTGGGGGTCAGTGCCCCTCAGGTCCCAGAGCTAAAAGACTTCACAGTCTCCAATTATTTGTGTTTTCAGCAACACTTAAAAAGTAGCTCCAGAAATGAAGTCAATGTTTAGGGATAATCAACTGCTTCAGAGACTCACCAACCTAGATTTCCACGCTTGGCCCAGGAAGAGACTCGTGTATAAAAGCTGTGGCTTGTATCAGAGCAGTTTCTAGATCTCTCTCCAATCCTCACCAGTCGTCTGTAGTTAGCCCACCCTTCTCAAAGATGAGTAAGGAGAGGAGGAGAGGTGGCAAGTGACTTGTGTGACTGCTCTGCAGAAAGGTGTCAGAGCCAGGATTAGAACCCAGGTGTCACAACACTCCCATCTCTGTGTTACTAATTTTGAGGCTGTGTCACTGGAATTTTATTTTGTACCTTAACATGACATCACCATGTCTGAGCATGGTGCTATGATGGAATCAGGAATGCCCCAGGACTTTCTTTACTCTCCCAATCCCACTGCCTGAACTCAAGCTTGCTCCAGTTTCTCCATAGAGATGAATAATCTTAACAGTAATAACAGAAGCCTCTGTCTTTCCAGTTATAAAAGCATGTAATCTTCAAAGCAACCCTGCTAAGGTGAGCTGGGCATTTTGTATTTGCCCTAGAGATCTACTAGCCAACCTCCTCACCCTATTCCATCCCTGGAAGACTGGCCTCCGGGGGTCACATCAACTGTGGTCCCTGCAGTGGGGCTGCTGGTCCTTTTCTATCAGAAGAAGGCACCAGCAGGAGATGAGAGAATCAGAGGAGAAAAATCAGTGAATGCAATCACCAGCCAACCCCTGCTGGGTCAAAGTCTGGCAGTAGCTGTGCTCCCCTAATGTGGGGATATCTGCCCAGTGGTCCATTTCTACCCTCTTCTACAGTGACAGGTTCAGCAACCTTGGAGTTCTGACAGCCACTCTGCCCTGTGCTGGTAAAGACATCTTACTGTTGTTGGAAGCACTTAAACAAT